TGTATTCACATTTTGTTTCCCTCCAAAAGACAACATTACTTTGATAACGAAGCCCTTTTTGGTAGTTTTATACATATAAGGAGTTTTTTGTTTCAAATATTAAAAACGACTTATTAGCTTGTAGATAAACTAAGATATATATATATATATATATATATATATATATATATATATATATATATATATATATATATATATATATATATATATATATATATATATTAAAACTCCGATTTTACACCACCATAAACTAATAAATTGATTTTTATTTTAAATGAACTTTGCCAAAAAAAACCCTATTACTATTAAGTCCTAAAATATAATTTAGGTGTAATTACTAATATAGTCAAACTAAGGAAGTGATTATTAATTTTTAGTCAAAAATTAGTAAATATCCAAGTATAGCCCACGAAACTGTAGGTTTCTAAAATCGTCTAGTGTTTCGCCATATTGTTTATTATTTTGTGTTCTGTATAATTTTTTTTTCATTTGAAAGTTACAAAATCGTAGGTTCTGGGAAACCTACGGTTTCCTCTCGGTTAAGCTACGGTATCCCAAACCGTAGCCTACAATTTTGGGGGAAAATACGATTTTTTTTTTTTTTTTGTAATACACTGTTTTTGGGGTTTCGTCTACTGTTTTGTAGAAAAAAACCTACGGTTATAATTTTTTTTATTTTTTTATTTTTTTTGTAAGATGTAGAATTATTTTAACAATTATTTTGTTAAAATTTTTTAAGAATTCAAAACATTAGACTTTAAGAAAATGTATTCTAAAAAATGTATTCTTTTTGTGATATAGAGTATTAAAAAAGGTTGTTTATAAGATGTAGAATTATTTTAACAATTATATTTTTTATAAAATGTAGAGTTGATTTTTGGCAATTATTTTGTTAAAAAATATTTTTTTGTAAAATATAAAAACTAGTTTGGCTAAACTTGACTACTTTTTTGTCAGAATGGACTACTGTTTTGTAAAACTTGATTACTTTTTTGTCAGAGTGGACTACTGTTTTGTTAAACTTGACTATTTTTTTTTGGTCAAAGTGGACTACTATTATGAACATACCCAATATATATTAAGTATTTCATATTTTTGAAATTATTTGGTATTTTGAAAACTGCACTTCTCTCTAGCTTCTTTATTCTCAAAATTAACATAATGAGTTCTAATGAGTTTTTCGAATTGCTTTTTACGGGTGGACGATAAGAGTTTGTTAATTCCCAATTATCATATGTTTGGCCACCCGAATACAATCCGAGAATGTTTTATTTCGGTGTTGAATTTTACGAAACCACCACGTACACCAAATTTTTTCGATTGGTGAAATGCAAGATGGGTCTTCCCGAAGAATCAAAAGTCAGTCTGACTTATCAATATCAAGAATAACTATATTATTGTGGTATTGTTGATGATCGTGATATTCGAAAGCTGATCAAGGTAATAAATACCGTTGGAGATAAATCTGTGTCTGTCTATGTGGTGGTTAAAGAAGGCATATCGCATAACGAAGTGGATGATAGAGGAAAGGCATCTGCAGCTAATTTATCTAGTGAAAAAGGGAGCAACAACCCAATAGGTAATTTTAAAAGTCTAAGTAAAAGTCAATATCATAGTGTCACTGAAAATGTAAATGTAGTGCCTGTTGTGCCACAACCGATTATGTATGTTACACAGAAGAATTATAAGTCTATCAGTTAAAATGATGTTGGTACATATGTTAATGATGTTGGTGTAAATCATTACTTTGACCAAAAAAAGCATTGGACGTGGTGGATAAGGTTAGTAATGAATCTGGAAAACAAGAATTTCCATTTTTGCATGATGGTGAACTAAAAGAATATGACGAGTTTGTGGATTGTGATAAATTGGATATATCCGGCCTAGAGAGTGATTCTAATGGAGAAGAATTTGATGATGAACCTAAACTTATTTATTCAGATACCATGTTTCATGGTATGCCCGCACTACCTTTGTGTCCTGTAAACGCTGATGTGAACATTCCGTGTCAGAAGGTAGATATAAATGAAGAGATTAAGGTTCTAGACATTTTTGATGACAAAGAGTTGCTCAAGCTTGCAATTGGAAGACAATGCATGGAACAAGGTAAGCAGTATAAGACTACCAGATCGAGCAAAGAGAGGTTCGAGGTGGTTTGTTTGGTAGAAAATTGTTCTTGGATGATTAGGGTAAGGGGAATCAAATCGACTACTGCTTTCCGGGTCACAAAAGTTGTTGACCAACACACTTGTTGTGCAACAAACTTGGAGTCTAATCATCGACAATCAAAGAAAAAGGTACTCGGCCACCTTATCGTTGAAGTATTGGCTGGGGATTACAATAGAGTTTATCGGGGTAATGAAATTGTGAGGGACATCAATTCGAATTTTCCAATCAATATCTCATACCAACAGGCATGGCGGGAAAAACAATATACGTTGTTGATGTTAAGAGGTACCAAAGAGGATTCATTCACCAAACTACCATCGTATCTGCACAACTTGGTAAAGCATAATACAGGAACTGTTACTCAGATAAGAATAGATGATGATGATTGGTTTGACTTCGTGTATATCGCGTTAGGTTGCTCTGTAAGCAGTGATAATTTTTTATAACAAATTTAACATATGAATTCTAATTGGTATTTGTTAATTCCATAAAAAATAACTATAGGTGCAAGCGTTCATCAAATATTGTAGGCCGACCCTAATAATTGATGGTGGTCACCTAAAGGGTGAATTAAAGGGTACGATGTTGCTTGTAGTGACAATGGACGGTCAAAACCAAATCATGCTTGTTACTTATGCCATAGGAAAAAGTGAATATACAGAGACATGGTCCTGGTTCCTTCGAAAACTACGTGAATGTATAGGCAACATGGAAGATCTTACATTAATATCTGATAGGGATCCATCCATAGTGACGTCAATTGCAAATATATTTCCACACACCCATCATGGAATATGTGGTATCCATTTGTATTTCAATATTTTAGCAAAATTTGGAAGCAGCGATACAATACACGCATTATTTTGGGAGACATGCAAAGTCTATACTATTAAAAAATTCGATAATTGGATGAAAAAAATTAAAAAGGTAAATGCTCGTTTATGGGAATACCTACAAAACATCGATCCAAAAAGATCGGCTAGGGCACATTTTCCTGGGAATCGGTATTTTCTGATGACATCAAATACTGTAGAGTCGATAAATTCAATGTCAAGATTTGCAAGAAAGATGCCAATATTGATGTTGATCAAGTATTTCCGTGCAACAATGCAACAATGGAGTTTTCAGAAACGTAATGTTGTAGGTACTAACATTTTATATATAATAGTACTTGAAAATTTTTTTTACTACTTATATGATATTATGAAATTATGTATATTTTTTAGTTGAAGCAAAAACAACACTCACCCCATGGGCTGAAACGATTTGAAGCAAATAAGAATGCTTGTAATAATTGGATGGTGTATCCTATCTCAAATAGTAGGTTTGAAGTGAAAAGATCTACTCACAAAAGTTTCATTTTTGATTTCCAACGAAGAACCTGTACATGTAGGTGATGGCAAATAGATGGCTTACCTTGTGGCCATGTCATAAAAGTGCTCACAATGAACCGTTACGAATATTGTTCGGAATTTGCTTTAGAAGCTTACTTTATAGAGACACTGAGGAAAAATTACGAGGAGTCTGTGAACCTCTTACCAAGTCCATCTGAGTGGGAGATTCCTGATGATTTGATGATTGTGAGGCCACCCATTATGGAGAGACGTCAGCAAGGTGAGCCCGACATCGGACCAACATCAGGAAACATATAAACCTACATCGAGCACCTCCCAAGATCGGACCTTAGTCTGGAATACATACAATCATACATACGGGCCTACATTGGTGCCTTCGACCCGTTCAAACAGGAGGAAAACTCACCTGAATGCTAAATCTCATAGTAAGAAGTCTCTAATGGCTGTTCCGATGACTCCCTAAGCTATCAGTACCAAAATAACACTTAGTCAAAACCCAATAATCCTTTTTAAGGTAAAATGGCCATTTTACCCCTGATCTAATTTGGTCCATGCTTAAAGCCCAAGACCATAACATGAAAGGCCTAATACTAGGTAGACTTCCCTAGCCCACTAATGGGTCACCAACGGCTCAACTTTCTAAATTAGGGCCAACTACTGAAATGGGCCTTCCCTTAAGCCCAACATATTTTAGCCTAAAAATCTGATTTCTGATGACCCAGTATGGCCCAAAGCTAAAAAGTCCAAGAATCAGCCCAAACTGAGGCCCGCATGTGCGAAGCCCATTCTGATTGAATATACATGGAGTACTCATCTATATGCAAAACGTATAGGCTGCATGGCTTGTACGTCGCGCGTACGAGCTAGTACGTTCAACGTACTCCACTGTTAAGCGATATTCTCAAAAAGAGCTTAACCTAATGAGTTAAAAACTCTTAAAATCGATTAAATTCAAACAGGTAAAAGCATTCAAGAACAGAATATGAATCAAGAATATATCTAATGATTAAAAGTCACAGCCTCAGAAGAGCTCAATGAAGAACTATTATTGTAGAGGTTGTGTAGGGTTTACAATCACACAATTCCCTAATACACAATGCATATATGCACCTAAAATAGTAAAACCCTAAATATGAAACACGGGAGGAAAGGAAGAACCCGGATACACAAAACATTAAGCAAAAGGCCCAAAATACGCAACACTAAAATACTCAACAATCTCCCCCTTTGCATCGATTGAGGCGGGAGTCCTTCACGGATGGGTTCGCTTCTGCACTTCAAAAACATTCGAATGATGCTCACCAGAACCTTGTGAACTTAGATATACCATTGAAACATATCCGAGAAGGACTTATGGTCACCTTTGATGTTCCCTTTGTATTTATTAATGAAGTCCAAGATATATTCCGGACACGAAGTGGTGAATAAATGTTTGTCATCGAGAAAGAAACAAACTTTGTGAAAGTCTGCATCATTTCACCCCTTCAATTGAAAAGCCACACACCATCTGTTCTTTTGTATCTTCCCAAGTTTCATCTTGTCAAAACCATCAGGGTTATCTTTGGGGAGTACACTTGGCTTCCTTATCAGCACTACAACAATTTCAGCATCCATTTGTCCAACCTCATAAATGTATGAAATTATCATCTGCTTGAGGTGAGCAATAACGGGCTCATACTTCTGTCCATATCTCAGCAAAAAGTTGTATAGTACGATCCAATCATACGGGTTAAGGCATGGCAAATTAGCGAGGATGAATTCGTAGACCTGACTGAATGAACCTCTCGCAACCTTAAGCTTTGCATTTGGGAAGTTATCGGTTTCGATTGGACCAGTGACCTTCACAACCGTAATCTTGCTCGCAGTCCACGTCTCGTATTGTGGCTTTATATGCTTGAGGTGATCTAAGTAATCTATTAATTTGTTTAAGTGTACAGTTTCATTTCTGGCTAGATCCTGTTGATTAAAAGTAGCGTCTAATTGAGTTTCACTAAGTAATCTAGCATACTTTTCTAGTTTCAAATATGCTTCTAACATGATGACCTTAAGCTTTATGTCTTCTAGTATTCCTCCCAAGTGGAACGACTCTTGAGTCGCCATGTTCTTTTCATCTAAGGCCTTGTTGTAGTCTGAAAGGACGCCAGCACACATTTGATTAATTTGTACAAGATATGATTCACAATCATGCATGTTGTAATTATTTGACTGAATCATACCTTTTGCTTGTTCAATGATGTTGATGGTTCCTTCCTTTGCCATGAAGCAATAGTTTTTCTTCATCTCTTCAGTGTTCTTCGTTTCAACTAGACATAGCTTGCCTCTTTTCCTCTTGTTGTCATTATCTTCATCTTCATCTCCTGAGTACCAAACTTGATGGTCTCTTCTCACTTGTGCCACAAAGGCTTTCTCATTCTTCTCCTTATCTTCAGTTTCTTGAGCCATTCTAAGGTAGAATGCTTTGTGTTTTACGACATTGGCTTTGCAGTCTCTAGCAAAATGATTTTCTTTGTGATATTTGTGGCATATGAGAACGCCTTCCTTTTTCTATTCTGTATCTTTTGTGGTATATGAAGATTTTTCTCCTTTTGATGCTTCAGAGGAGTGTGACATCATTAGTGGTGTGGTTTGAGACCGAGGTTGATAAGATGGATTTCTAGGATATCTAAAAGACTGAGGATAGTGTCACACCCCCAAACCAAGGATGGCGGAAACATCCAGGGGTGGAGGACTTCATGTATATAATATCACAACAACGAGTATAATAGTGCTCAAAGTAAATACAACCATTATAAATATAATCGATAAAGTTACATGGTTTTATAAGAGTACATGTTTCAAAATCGATTACAATATAATGATAAAATGTTTTGTCTAACGACGAAGCGTTCCATCCTCAAGAGCTAGTAGTCACCTATTTTTATTGATTACCTGAGAATACAAGTAAATTTTGAAAGAGTGTCAAGGATTACGTTGGTGAGTGCATAAGCTTTTGTATATAGAGTTGAAAACCTATCTTTGTAAATGTAATATATGCACAAGAAAAATCCAATATTTTCCTTATAAAATGAGTTGTAGTCTTAAGACCCAAAGACCAAAATGTACAAGTATTTTACCATACCTATAATAGCGTAAGCATTTTTATGAAAATAAAACCCCTTTGAATATAGAGATCCCCATAAACTAGGTGTGTCGTTATTTCCCTATGTGAGTTATTATAACCATACTGTTTGACATAGAAACATGTTACGACGTTCTTCGAGCGTCGGAATGTTATGACATTTGTCACCCCAGACCTATCGGTCTAGCTGTTGCATGCAACTAAGGTGTGGGTTGTCAATCCCAATATAGATCTATATACAAGTATGATGCTCTCCCTACAAGAGACTCTGGTTATAACTACATGATTTTAACCAGTACTCTAAGAGTACAATGAAGTAGTTCCTCACAACTGGATTTAACGAGTTTATATGTAGTATAATTGAAAATCCTTTTTGGTAGTAGGAATATAACCTTCCTTAGTAATTTCATAGAGTTGATGTGAAATAAACTATATCTATTATAGCTTATCATGAATGTACATAGTAATGAAAAACACTTTTGTAGTGAGAATTGAACCTTTTCATAGTGAACAATGGTTTAACAAAGCATAAACTATACTTATTATAGTTCATCTTGTATGTTTGTAATGACTAATAACCCTTATAATGATTGATTATTTCTGTTATCTAAGTGTAAGTTAACAGAAAACACAAGTAAATATGTAGTCATCATTGATAAACACTTTGCTCAACACATTACAAAGTGTTAGTAAACTTGTAAACTGTTTGTAACTAGTTTAACTTTTCTGTCACTGTTTTTGTAAAAATCACAGAAAAATTATCGTGAGTTGAAATCTAAATCCGTAAAATCCAGAAGTTCAGAAAATGTGTCTAGTATACCCACAATTTTTATTATGATTTTTAATGATTCCTTACTAGTTTCAAAATGACCATTGTCACTGACTGGTCCGAAATCTTTGTTGTTATGATAGACAGTTTTGTAAAAATTACCATAAATTGTAATAAAATATCGTATGAACATGTTCATGTAGTCATTTGAAAGCTATAAACTTGAAATATTTACATATTGAACAGTTTTCAAATTTATGGAGTTTAAGATGGTCAAAACATTTCGTGATTGAGCCATAACTTTTCTGTTGAAAGCTGTCATTTGAGCTTAAGCATGTTTTGATGTTGTAACTTGTATTCTCTCCCATAAAACTAGAAGAAAACGTGAAAAGAAGGGGGTATGAACTCACAGTGAGTGATTTCATGAGATGGAGGGTTGAAGACAATGGGTTTCCAAGTCAAGAACACTTGGAGAATGCTTAAGGATTTGAAGGTCCTAAGAATAAATATGACGATATTTGTATAAGAAACCCATGATTTGAGTGAAAGAATGTAGAATATTGAAGAGTAATAATGAAAAACTTGTTGGATTAGTGTCTAAGTCCATAACTATTTTGGTATGTACTTGACCCGATGGTGCATGGTCCTTTTGAGTTGCCTTCACCAAAGCAACTTGATAGGATGAATTATGGAGAGAAAGGATTAAATATGAATTATTAATATATTATGAGAATAATATATTAAAGGGGAAATCATATTGTTTAATTAATATTAGTCAAGAATTAATAAGAATTAAGTTTGTGGCTAAAAGAGATTACTTAAACTTAAGGGACTAGAATTGTAATTATAAGATAATTGCAAATGGGCTATGGATTACCTTACATTATCAGGTTGGACGAATTCTATGAGGAAACCCATTAGAAATCGTCCAAGGCTTATTAAGGAAGTGTCCGTGGGTTTCTTAGGGCCTAAGCATCCAAATTAAGGTTTCCTAGTTGAAAACCCTAATAGCCTACATGTATATATAGTACCCTTAAGCCCCAAAAACGTGGTGAACTAATTGGTTAGGTTTTCCATACGTTTTGGGCAGCCTCCTTCTCTTCTCCTCTTCCTCCTCTTGTTCTTGGTGTTTGTGAACCATTAGAGGAGTGCCATTTGTGACTCTAAGCTTTCTAAAGTCATTACAAGAAGGATTTGAGTTTTGTTATTGCTACAAAACAATCAAGGTAATATCTTAAACCCATTATTATGTTAATATCGATTATCATATGCTAGAATTAGGATTTATAGTCTTGGATGAATTGCATGTACAATAAAGAAACCTAGATCCAAGCATTAGGGTTTGTATGAGCACATAGGATGTTCTTATAGCTAAAACCCATCAGTGGTATCAGAGCCTTGATTGGTTTCTATTGTATTGATGCTATGATCGAATTTTGTCCTTCTGTTCGAACTGACACGGCGAGTCACTACATGGACTCGGTGAGTCTGCCCTACTCGGCGAGTTCCAATGTGTGACTTGGGGAGTCGGAGCGTCAGACAGAGGGAATACCAGGATTTCTTGTTGTTTTGTTGAAGGGTTAATACCAAAAACGTATTTTTATGATAAAATCCGATTTTTATTATACTTAATTATCCTTCATAAAACAAAAGATAATTTCTAATCTTTTGAATAATACTTTCCTTATATGATAAATGTGGATTATTTAATTTATTTGGTAATTATCTTATGAGATTAGGTCAAATATAGATAATGATGAAATTAATTGTTTAATTTATATTATTTGTTATTTAATCCTTGTGTTATGAAAAGTTTCAATTTTTCCTTTTAGGTTTTATAGTTTAAACTTGAACTCAAAAGTTTTGTTTTGAAATTTAAATAGTTGAAACCCTAATGTTTTGAAAAGGTTTCAAAACTTGCCCGCAAGTTTTGGAATTTAAATTTTGATTTTGAAATATTTAAATTGTAAACTCTAATGTTTTGAAATGTTTCAAAAACTTTCTCTCGAGTTTTGGAATTTAAAAGTTGATTAAAAGTTTAATTTAGAAATGTTAAATTCTAAAACCATAGTATTGTTTTGAAAAGTTCAAATCACACCCTTATGGTTTTATTAATTAATTAAGGTGTATAATTAAAAGAGGTTTAAGAAATCCATATAGTTTTGGTGCACAATTTAATTAAATTAAAAGTATAATTATTAAATTAGACCACCTAGTATTTTGAAAGTGTAAAATACACCTTATACTATATATAACCTTAAAAGTCTAACATTATATATATATATATATATATATATATATATATATATATATATATATATATATATGTATGTATGTATGTATGAGTAAAAGTCAGTCTTACCGTTAGTAGGCCTCATTCAGGAAGCTGGTCTATAAGGGGTGTTTAAGGAAATTGCCTATAAAATGGCGATTGAATGGGTATCCACTCTTATCCATCGCACTCTTGACTAGTGGAGGGTCGTTAGCCGAACGGGTAGGATAGGACAAAACCTTCCATTATAAGTATAATGAAGTACAAAAGTAACTAAATGTTTTTGCAAATTCCCAATCTTAGTTGCTTTAGGCAAATGTGAATTGATGCAATTCCAGGAAATTACACTTTGTGCCCTTGCGAAGACGTTAGTGGAGCGTGTGTGGTTTACCGGTACACTAAATGGTTCTAAGAAAAGGTAGCAAAGGGTGACTCAATGTTTGTCATAGTTTGGTGGAGCGTGTGTGGTTTACCGGCACATCGAATAGGTGACCGTAACATGTGAGGGCACCATGTAAGTTTCCATGGTTATTCACACCCGCTTTATGAGCCTCGGCATCCCAATCACAAACTAGAGGGGCATATCTAGATTTAAACATTCCATTGAAAAGGTTCAATGAATCTCAAAGGATCTAGGAGTTTTTCAATACATTTAAGACTTAATCTGTTTTCCTTTTTTCATGGTGGAAAATTAGTGAATCGTCATTCACTTACCTTCAAATATTCTGCAACTAGATTACGGCATCCCTTTTCTAGGTTGTAGCGTATTGTGTTGGGTCCTAGCATTAATATCTCATTTGGGTGATTTATTAAGGACTCAATCAATCAACTAAATTGAATTTGTTTTCTCCCATTTTGTAGATGTCAAAGTACGACAACTATGGTCTTCCCAAATCCCGTGGAACAAGCATTCCACATGATGATGATGTTCCACGATTCGATCGAGGAACAAGAAATAATGCTTCACTTCCTCCACCTCCTCCAATTATTCTCCCTAACCCACAAGATTGAAGAATTGAAAGGTTCAATGTCACTAAAACCCTATTGGAAATGAAACATGAAGATGGTAAACCCATGTGTCCCCATGTTCTAGGAATGAA